CTGGCTGATGAGAAAAAACATGTGCCCTAGATGGTTTGGCTCAGTGTATAGAGCGTGGACCCCATACTAAAGGGTCCCGGGTTTGATTCTGGCACTGATCCGGGAGCATGCAGGAGGCAAGCAATCAATGTGTCTCACGCCGAAGTTTCTCTCTCTGTGTTTCTCCCCCTCCCTTCCACTCTCTCTAAAAATCAGTGGGAAATATCCTCTGGTGAAGATTTTTAAAAAACAACAAAAAACATGCAGGGCAGTTTGTGAGAATTCTAAACGTGGATCAGAACACGAGCTCTGGGGTCAGACCTGGGTTCAAGTTCTTGGTCTTACTCTAGATGCATTCTTCTGTTATTTTTATTTATTCATATTCTACCTCACTCTGTAAACCCTTGAGCCTGCTTACCCTCTCTGAGCCTCATCCTTCCCTGTAGAATGGGATAATAATAGTTCTGACTTCACAGGGCTCTTGTAAGGATGAAATGAGGTAACGCATGTGAAAGTGCTTAGTGAACTGTTGAGCAGTGTACAACTGGTAGCTGTTATTATTAGACCATGACAAGTGCTTTAAAAAGGTTACAGATAAGAGTGCCGTAGGAGTTTGTTCAATTAACATTTATTAAAGCAAGGTAAGAGATAAGAAGATGAACAAGACATCGCACCTCATCTCATAAGGTGCCTCTGATCAACTATGTAAGATAAGACACATATAATTACAACCGAAGGGACAGCTACTGTTCAGGAGCCCCTCAGTGTGTCGGGCACGGTCCACTCATGATTTCTATTCAAGCCGGTGGGGGTAGATGTTACCATAAGTTGTTTAAGGTCACACTGTTAGGAAGTGGCTGGATAGCGATCCAAAAGCAGGTCTGTCTTGTTCCAAGGTCGGCGTTCTCCCTGCACGACGGTCAGTTTCAGGAAATGGGCACGATGGTTATCAGTTTAGGGCAGGGGTGGGCAAACTTTTTGACTCGAGGGCCACAATGGGTTCTTAAACTGGACCGGAGGGCCGGAACAAAAGCATGGATGGAGTGTTTGTGTGAACTAATATAAATTCAAAGTAAACATCATTACATAAAAGGGTATGGTCTTTTTTTTTTTTTTTAGTTTTATTCATTTCAAACGGGCCGGATCCGGCCCGAGGGCCATAGTTTGCCCACGGCTGGTTTAGGGAGAGGAATAACCTTTTTTCCGGATAGGGGTGGATCAGAGACGGTCCTGTGAGGGTCAGTGGCGATGAGGCGATAGCATCCTATGCAGGAGCATGAAGAAAGGCATGGGGGAAAGGAAAACATCAGGCCTGTTTAGCAGATTCTGGGCTGACTGAGGAAGGAGGAGAAGAGGAGGAGGAGGAGGAGGAGGAAGGGTTGAGCAGAAGCAGGCAGGCTGGGGCCAGTTATCCAGAGCCTCACAGAACCAGCCAAGAAGTCCAGGCTTGGGTAGTGGCTGCAGGGACCCATTGTGGGTTGGTTTTTCTGTGTGTGTTTTAACCCTCGCCCAAGGATATGTGTTTATTGATTTTTAAAGAGAAAGGAAGGGGTGGAGAGAGAGAGAGAAACATCAGTGGGTTGCCTGGACTGGGGATCGAACCCACTACCTTTTGCTGTATGGGACGATGCTCCAACCAACTGAGCCACTGGCCAGGACACTCCTGTGGGTGTTCAAGCCAGGGGGGGTCCCTCCTAGGCCCTGCTGCAGTGGGGAAAGGGTGCTGAGCGGAAGAGAGAGCCTGAGGCAGGGAGGCGGGCAGGAGGCTCTCCAGCAGTCCTGTGAGAGGACTCTCACCAGACAGCGGGGAAGAGAGCAAGGAGTCAAAAGACTTGGTGACTGATAGGGCCAGCCATCAGAGGGGACATCAGGAAGATGTGAGTGTTGTGGTTTGGGAGGGCTGGAGGATAAAGAATGAGTGCATGCCCTAACCGGTTTGGCTTAGCGGATAGAGCGTCGGCCTGCGGACTCAAGGGTCCCAGGTTCGATTTCGGTCAAGGGCATGTACCTTGGTTGCCAGCACATCCCCAGTAGGGAGTGTGCAGGAGGCAGCTGATCAATGTTTCTCTCTCATCGATGTTTCTAACTCTCTATTCCTCTCCTTTCCTCTCTGTAGAAACTCAATTAAAATATATTAAAAAAGAATGAGTGCAGCCTCAGAGTGCATTCAGTCATTCAGTTAATAATTATTGAGCGTCTACTACTTTTTTTTTAATTTTTATATTTTTACTGATTTCAGAGAGGAAGGAAGGAAGAAGGAGAGAGAGATAGAAACATCCATGATGAGAGAGAATCATGGATCGGCTGCCTCCCACACGCCCCCCACTGGGGATCAAGCCCGCAACCTGGGCATATGCCCTGACCAGGAAT